TGGATGGATGGATGGATGGATGGGTGGCTGGGTGGCTGGGTGGCTGGGTGGATGGGTCGATGGATGGATGGGTGGGTGGATGGATGGATGGATGGATGAGTGGATGGGTGGGTGGATGGATGGGCAGATGCATGGATGATTGTATGGATGGATAGATGGATAGATAGACAGATGGATATGTGGGTAAATGGATGAATATATGTATGTGTGTATGTATGTATGAATGGATGGATGGATGGATGAATAGATATAGACGGATGGATGGGTGACTAGATATAGACAGATGGATGGATGGGTGAATAGATATAGATGTATGGATAGATAGACAGATAAATGATACATAGAGATGGATGGTTGGATGGTTGGATGGATGGATGGATGGATGGGTGGATGGATGGGTGAATGGATGGATGGGTGGCTGGGTGGATGGGTGGGTGGCTGGGTGGCTGGATGGATGGGTGGCTGGGTGGATGGATGGATGGATGGATGGATGGATGGATGGATGGGTGAATAGATACAGATGAATGGATAGATAGATAAACGATACATAGAGATGGATGGATGGATGGATGGATATATAGAGAGAGACATAGAGAGAGAGATGACAGTTAGATGATGGATAGATAAATAGATGATAGCTTAGTTAACTAGATAGATAATAGGTAGGTAGATAAATAGATAAATTAGATAGATAAATGATAGATGATAGATAGATGATGTATCATCTTACCTGATAAGATGATATCATATATCTTATATCAACAACCCCAACTATGACAGCTATGGAAACACACACGGTATGGTACATCCACCATCTGGGCATGTGAAGGGTGGGCAGGAGAGGGCAGTGTTTCTGGGACTGCTGGTTGTCAGAAAAGGACGTCATGTTTGGTAAAGTAGAGGGTCAGCGAAAATGAGGGAGACGTTCCGCGATAGATGGATTGACACAATGGCTGCAGCAATGGACTCAAACATACCAACAATTGTGAAGATGGCACAGGACCGGGCCGTGTTTCCTTCTGTTGTACGTGGGGTCACCATGAGCTGGAGCCAGCTGGACGGCAGTCAACAACATGATACAGTACAAGCAGAATATATCGTAGACTTCCTGAAGAATGAACAAATCAGTCTTAGAAGAAATATAACCAGAATGCTCCTCAGAAGCGAAGATGGTGAGACTTCAGCTGGCTTACTTGGGACACGTCATCAGGAAAGACCAATAGCTAGAAAAGGAAGCATGGTTGGTAAAGTAGAGGGTCAGAGAGAAGAGAAAAACCCTCCGTGGGATGGACAGACACAGTGGCTGCAACAGTGGACTCAAACACAGCAAGGATCATGGAGATGGTGCAGGACGGGCAATGTTGCCTTCTGTTGTACATGAGGTCACCATGAGTTGGAGCCAACATGGCAACAACTCACAACAACAACAGCTTCAACCTGGGACGAGGCTTCGGTAAACGAAAGCTCTCTCTGCTTGAGTTGGTCTTCTGGGCTGACCCTTTGCTTTTCCTGTTTCTCTCCCTAACTCACCTTCTGTTATGGATTCAGTTGTGTCCCCCACAAAATGTGTGTCAACTTGGCTAGGCCACGATTCCCAGTATTGTGTGGTTGTCCACCATTTTGCAATCTGATGTGATTACCCTATGTGTTGTAAACCCTAACCTCTATGATGTTAATGAGGCAGGATTAGAGGCAGTTAGGTTAATGAGGCCCCATGCACAACGGAACGAAACTCATAGAAATTGTTGAATTGGCGTATGTTCTGCTGTGTATATTCTCAACAATAACAACAAAATAAATTATTTTTAAAAAAGGAAGAAGCAGCGTCTGGGTGACGGCCCAGCAGTGCTGGGGCAGGGACGACCTTTGAGAGAGGTGCCTGAGCATCCAGCCACCTCATTGGCATGGGGGGTGATCGTCAGGGACCCCCGCCATGGGGTTGGTCCCCTGTTCAATGGTGTGTCACCAGCGTGTCCAGGCCAAACTCCACGGTCTCCCACTGTCTAGTTAATAATTTATGGTACTGATGCTGTTTTTAGCTGCCATCAACTCACGGAGACCCCACGCCACCACAGTGGAACACTGCCCAGTCCTGTACCATCTTCACCATCGTTGGTGTGTGTAAGTCCATCGTTGCGACCACCGTGTATTGTGAGCGCCTTCCAACCAGGGGGCTCAGCTTCCAGCACTGTATCAGACACTATTCTGTGGGGATCCATAGGGTTTTCATTGGCTGATTTTCAAAAGTAGATCTCCAGGCCTTTCTTTCTAGTCTGTCTTAGCCTAGAAGCTCCGCTGAAACCTGCTCAGCATCACAGCAACACACAAGCCTCCACTGACAGATGGGTGGTGGCTGTGCATGAGGTGCACTGGCTGGGAATCGAACCCGGGTCTCCCCCATGGAAGGCGAGGACTCTACCACTGAGCCACGCCTGCCGGAAAGCTATAGTAAAGCAGCTGCTGTGGAGTCCGCCACAACTCGTGGTGACCTCGTGCACAACAGAAGGAAATGCCGCCCGGTCCCGCGCGTCTCCATGATCAGTTGTGGATCAGACCTCTGTGATCCAGAGGGTTTCCATTGGCTGACTTTTGGAAGTAGATTGCCAGGCCTTTCTTCCTAGTCTGTCTTACTCCGGAGGCTCTGCTGAAACCTGTTCAGTGTCATGGCAACCCGCAAGCCTCCACAGACAGACGGGTGGTGGCTGTGCCTCAGGCGCTGGCTGGGAATTGAACCCTGGTCTTTCTCGTGGAAGGTGAGGATTCTACCAGTGAACGAGCACTACCCTCGTGATATCTCGTTTAGGGAGCCATTTTACCCCACGCACGGTTCTCTTAAAATTCTTCTCCTGCGAGGAGGCTCTCTGGAGCATGTTCCTATGCTGTTCGTCATGTTCAGAAGCTAGAAAGAAACGACTTATCCAGCAGCTCTCTCAGAATTGCTGGTCCTTTCCAGCATGATTTCCCAAGAAATTAGTCAGGGCTCTAATAAGGGCACGCCCCTCACAGGGACCATTGTCTGAGGCCCAGGGGGATAAATGCTCACTGTCTTAGTCATCTAGTGCTGTGGTAACAGAAATACCACCAAGTGGATGGTTTTAACAAACAGAAGTTTATTATCTCACGGTCTAGGAGGCTAGAAGTCTGAATTCAGGGCACCAGCTCCAGCGGAAGGCTTTCTCTCTCTCTTGGCTCTGGGGGAAGGTCCTCGTTATCAATCTTCCCCTGGTCTAGGAGCTTCTCAGCACAGGGACCCCGGATCCAAAGGACGCGCTCTGCTCCTGGCACTACTTTCTTGGTGGTATGAGGTTCCCCCGTCTCTCTGCTCGCTTCTCTCTTTTATGTCTCAAAAGAGATTGACTCAAGATACAACCTAATCCTGTACATTGAGTCCTGCCTCATTAACATAACCATCTCTAATCCCACCTCATTAACATTGTAGAGGCAGGATTTACAACACACAGGAAAATCACATCAGATGACAAAATGGTGGACAATCACACAATCCTGGGAGTCATGGTCTAGCCAAGTTGACACACATTTTGGGGAACACAGTTCAATCCCTGACACTCACCAAAAGGGCTGCCGTTTTATCCGTAGAGGGAAGCGGCTGCCACCATACCGCGCTCATCCATGAGGCCAACGCCAGGTGCAAACAGCAGGTGGTCAAGGTCCACTCATGCAGATGCGCTGCCACCCACTTTGGGGGGCGCCATATAGGAGGCCTGGTTGCACAGTGGTTAAGCACTCAGCTGCTAACCAAAAGGTCGGCAGTTGGAATCCACCAGCTGCTCCTTGGAAACCCTGTAGGGCAGTTCTACCCTGTCCTATATGGTCACTCTGAGTCGGAACCGACTCTAAGGCGCATAACAAAAGCAACAACGTGTTCATTTATACATCTGGCTCCTGAAAGGGCAGCCCCCCTCCTACCGCGTCCAGACCTCCACCCGGTGACCCTCAGCAGAGAGTTTGTGAATCGGCCTTGACGTTAGATCAGTGACCGTGGAGTCCACCCCGACCCCTGGTGACCCCATGTGTGTCAGAGCAGAACTGTGCGCCCTAGGGTTTTCAGCGGCTGGTTTTTTCAGAAGTAGATTGCCTGGCCTTTCTTCTGAGGAAACTCTGGGTAGACTCGAACCTCCAACCTTTCAGTTAGCAGCCGAGCATGTTCACCATTTGTACCGTCCAGAGACAACCAAAAACCAAACCCATTGCCATTAAGTCAATTCCAACTCATAGTGACCCTATAAGACAGAGTAGAACTGCCCCATAGGGTTTCCAAGGAGCGGCTGGTGGGTTCAAACTGCTGACCTTTTGGTGAGCAGCCGAGCTCTTCCCACTGTGCCGCCGGGGCTCAATGGCGGAGTCACATCTACTGGATTTCAAAATCACAAGGTCACGGCTTGCTGAGTGTGTTAGGATGAACAAGACCAGTTGCTGTCAAGTCGATTCAGACTCATGGTGCCCCCATGTGTGTCAGAGCAGAACTGTGTTCCTTAGGGTTTTCAACGGCTGATTTTTTTAGAAGTAGATTGCCAGGCCTTTCTTCTGAGGCACCTCTGGGTAGACCCAAACCTCCATCCTTTCAGTGAGCAGCGAAGTGGGTTAACCATTTGCGCCAGCCAGGGACTCCACCCTGAGTTTAGCCCAGAGGTATTAGCACGGATACTGGGGGGGGGGGGGCAGAATTTCCGCCCCAGGGACTCGGCATTTCCTGCGGGTGGTAGAACACATCTGGTGTGTTCCATGCTGACGCCCAGTGCCGACGGGCACGGCTGACCTTGACCAGCTGAGGAGGGCGTCCCTTCTGCCTGCTGACCCTTTTGAGGGTTACAAGCCCAAGCTGACAATGCAGACAAACCTTTTGTGTGTGCTTTAGGTGAAAGTTTACAGCTCAGGTTAATTTCTCATACAAAAATTTACACACAGATTGTTGTGTGACATTAGCTGCAATCCCCACAATGTGACAGCACACTCCCCCTTTCCACTCGGGGTTTCCTGTGTCCATTCAACCAGTTCCTGTCCCTTCCTGCCTTCTCATCCCGCCTCCGGACAGGAGCCGCCCATTTGGTCTCGTGTATCTGCTTGAACTAAGAAGCACGCTCCTCACAAGTATTATTTTTTGTATTATAGTCCTGTCTAATCTTTGCAGACAAAACTTTTTATCGATCGTCTTACACCAGGTCCCTGGGTGTGCCAACGGAAACGGGTGTGCCAACGACTAACGGAAAGGTTGGCAGTTTGGACCCACACAGAAGCTCTGTGGGAGAAAGGCCTGGCGATCTGCTTCCAAAAAGATTACACCCAAGAAAACCCTAAGGGGCAGTTCTATCCTGGAACCCATGGGGTCGCCGTGAGTCCGAAGCATCTTGACAGCAACAGTGTTGGGTTTTTGTTTGGGATCATCTTAAATGCTGGCTGTAAACGGCCAAGTTTCCCTACTGCCTACGGTTGCCTTGGAGAAGGCAGTTGATTCAATTATCCCTCAACCTATAAATAACATCTGCATAAACTGTTCAGCTTCAAAATTAGCACTTAAAAAAAAAATCTTGCCTCTTGCTTTAAAAATTGTTCTCAAGACATAGGACGGAACCCAGAGAATATGGCATCTGGGCTCGTTTTTAACTCAGTACTGAAGTCACTCCTGAGGTTCACCCTTCAGCCAAAGATTAGACAGCCCCATAAAACAAAACGAGACTGAAGGGGCACAGCAGCCCAGGGGCAAGGACGAAAAGGCAGGAGGGGACAGGAAAGCTGGTAACAGGGAATCCAAGGTCGAGAAGGGAGAGTGTTGACATGTCGTGGGGTTGTTAATCAATGAATGAGAAGCTAGTTTGCTCTGTAAACCTTCATCTAAAGTACAATAATAAAAAGAAAGAAAGGAAAAAGAAATGCATTCTGTCCCAGTTCTGGATGCCAGAAGTTCAATATCCCAGTGTCCCCAGGACCCACCGTATTCCAAGACGAGCACATGTTAACTGGCAACATCTGCAAAGATACAAGTCTGAAATCAAGGTGTGGGCAGGGCCACCGGCCCTCCTGAGGCTCTGGGGAGGGTCTTTCCGTGTCTCTCCCAGCTTCTGGTAGTCCCAGGTCCTTGTAGCCCTTCCTCTGTCTCTCTGTGTTTCTCCTCGTTGACAAGACACCACTCAGATAGGATCAGGACCCACTCTATTCCAGTAAGGAGCCCTGCTGGTGTAGTGGTTAAGAGCTGGGCTGCTAACCAAGAGGTCGGCAGTTCGAATCCACCAGCCTCTCCTTGGAAACCCTGTGGGACAGTTCTACTCTGTCCTGTAGGGTTAGTATGTTTTTGGTTTACTCTGGGATGGCCTCATGTTAACCTAACTGATAACATTTCAAAAGACGTTACCCAGAAAAGGTCACCTTCCCAGGTACCAGGCGTTAGGACTTCGACATTTCCTCTTTAAGGGACACGGTTCAACCCACGACACCATCTGAGGCCCCCTCCTCAGGGCCCGCGTTAGTTCACCACGTGTTCTCCCGCCGATCTACCAGGCCCCTCCTCTCCAGCGCCACCTGGGACGCCACTGGCTGCGTGCTCGGAAAAGCCCTTTCCTTGCCGCGGGGGGACACGTCCACACCTGGGCAGCTTTTCACCGCATGAGGCTTCAGGAGTCCAGCTTACGCGTTGGCCTGGATTTCAGTCCCTCGCCAAGACTTCCTGAGGGTTATCTTGTGACTCATGTGATCTTTTCTCCCTGCAGGAGGAGGGCGCTACAGACCCAGTTCTCCTTACGGAAATCCTTATGGTAAAGGAACGGTGCCTTCACACACGTGGCAGGAGAAAGTCTCCTTCCACGGGATACTAACCCCATGCCGCGGCGCCGGGGGACGGGGTGCCTATTGTCTCGTCCATGGGGACCTCCTAACCTGCCTCCCTGATGTGTGCGCCCGCCAGCCACCCATGCTATGGGGAGACAGCACGTATGTGACGCAGCCTTGATTTCTTGAAAGGAACTAAGGCCGCTTACAGGGGTGTATGTGTGCACGTGTGTGAATACCGGGGTATTGTCCTTGGCCAGTAACATTGAGCCCACGTCGCTCTTGATTTTCCCCAGTCTCTCCATCAGCAGTAGATGGGGAGGCTCTTGCGCTTACTCGTCACATGAGTTGTCTGTCTGCATGGTGAAGTGCCACCAGCTCCGTGGAGACGTGGAGTTTTGTCTGCCGTGTTCCTTGTCCCATCAGCCTCTCCAACCGTGCTTGTCTTCAGAAAGCATCAGTCAATTCTGAGGAATGAATGAATGAATATGTATGTTTCTCCCTTACAGGCGGAGATGGAGCTTCCACTTATGGCGACCCTCAAGGTAACTGTTTGATTCAGACGCCCCGAACTTGATCTAATAAGAGCACGCCCTTGTAAAGCACCCGCAGGAATGGCCAGGGTTGCTGGTGGATGCTGTCAAGTCGGTCCCAGATCATGTGACCCCAGGCACGACAGAACAAAACACTGCCTGGCCCTGCACCATCCCCATGATTGGCTGTTGGTGATCCAGAGGGTTTTCATGGGCTGATTTTTAGAAGTAGATCGCCAGGCCTTTCTTCCTAGTCTGGAAGCTCTGCTGAAACCTGCTCAGCATCACAGCAACACACAAGCCTCCACTGACAGACGGGTGATGGCTGCACAGGAAGTGCATTGGCCGGGAATTGAACCCAGGTCTCCTGCATGGAAGGCGAGGATTCTAGCACTGAGCCACCAGTGTCCTCATGGAGCCAGTGTCCTCTGTTATTATTTCAACCCAACAGACGTGGAGTCACCACTTCCTATTTGTATTCATTTCATATTTTTATTTTTCTAAAGAAGCTTTTGAACAAAAATGATTGCCCCTCAAAATACAACCAGGAGTCCCTGGGGGGAGCTAATAGTTAACACACTCAATTACTAACTGAAAGTTTGGTGGTTGGAGTCCACCCAGAGGTACCTTAGAAGAAAGGCCTGGCAATCTCCTTCCAAAAAAACTAAAACCAAGGGGGGAAAAAAACCATCGCCATCAAGTCAATTCTGACTTATAGTGACCGTATAGGACAGAGTAGAACTGCCCCATAGGGTTTCCAATGCTGTAAATCTTTATGGAAGCAGACTGCCACATCTTTCTCCCATGGCGCGGCTGGTAGGTTCAAACAACTGACCTTTTGGTTAGCAGCGGGCACTTTAAAATTTCTACAAACCCGTTGCCGTCGAGTCGATTCCAACTCATAGCGACCCTGTAGGACAGAGTAGAACTGCCCCACAGGCTTTCCAAGGAGCGGCTGGTGGATTCAAACTGCTGACCTTTTGGTTAACAGCCAAGCTCTTAACCACTGTGCCCCTAGGGCTCCCTCACTGAAAACCTATGGGGCCCGGATCCAGTCTGACACACACAGGAGCACTGTGAGTCTAGAATGAGTCCCCGGACGCCTCGTGTCACCTCTTGCCACACTTGGAGGAAATTGCTTCTTCGTTTGTCCTGCCCTTTACCATGGGGTCTCCATGAGTTGGGGTCAACTTGACGGCGATTGGTTAGTCCTAGGTTGGGAGAGGAGGACTGGTAAGGCTTCCTGCGGGGGGAACAATATCAAAGCCAAGGCCTAAAGGGTGGTGGGAAGTAGCCAGGGCAGCGAGCGAGGTGTTAGGGAAGAGAGTGTGCCGGGCAGGGCTGGGTGTATTCCTGAGCGTGGCCAGGGCATGGGGCGTGATGGGGAGAAGGACGAGACCCGAGGCTGGCCAGGTAGCCGGATGGAGGGGTCTGCACTGTGTCCCGAGGGGAAGCCATTATCAAGCTTAATAAGAAAAAAAACCAGCACGCCCGACCGCCCCGTCTTAGTCTAGAAGCTCCGCTGAAACCTGCCCACCACGGGTGACCCCGCTGGTATTTAAAATACCGGTGGCGTAACTTCCAGCATCACAGCAACAGGCAAGCCACCACAGTACAACAAATTAACAGACAGGTGGTGGGTACGTGTCTGAGTTTATCTACATGATTGTTTGTACCCATGAAAAACCAGTTGCTGTTGAGTGGACTTTGACTCATGGAGCCCTTGTGTGTGTCAGAGTAGAACTGTGCTCCACAGGGTTTTTCATGATTTGTTTTTCAGAAGTAGATCGCCAGGCCTTTCTTCTGAGGCGCCTCTGGGTGGACTTGAACCTCCCGCCTTTTGGTTAGCAGCCAAGTACTCAACCATTTGCACCAACCCAGGGGCTCCTAGCTTGTGATAATCCCGCCTCAAAGGCGTGGGGGACACCCTTGCCTCCTGTATGCCTGCATCCCGATTCCCAGGGGGTCTTTGACGGAAGGTTACCTGGGTTCTCTTGAGTCTAACATTCTTTGCATGAGAAAACTTTCTACATCTAAAAAGGTGAATATCAATCAAATTAAACAAACAAACACCACGTGCCCACTGTGTGCACAGCACTGTTCAGGGACAAATACAGGAACTGAGTTGTAAACAATTCAACAGAGATTTTCTGTGGGAGGAAATGGAATTGCTGCAGCAAGGAAGCTGGCCCTCAAGAGGACTGCGGCTTACCAGAGAACCCCGTTACCAACGAGTCGATTCCGACACGGAGTAGAACGGCCCTATAAGGTTTCCAAGGAGCAGCCGGTGGATTTGAACTGCCGACATTTTGGTAGCAGCCGTAGCTCACCACAGCTCTTAACCACTGTGCCACCGGGGCTCTGACAAACAGAACCGTCTCCTTTTATAAGAAGCTACAAGGAAGTTGAGGAGGCCCAGAGCGGTGTAAAGAGTTAAGCGCTCGACCATAAGCCAAAAGGTTGGTGGTTCGAACCCACCCAGAGGCATCTTGGAAGACGGGTATGGTAAGCTGCTTCCAAAAGTCCCCGCTTTGAAAACCGGTTGTACTCTGCGCACGTGGGGTCGCCGGGAGTCAGAAGCGACTCCACGCGGCTAACAATAACAACCGCGGGAGGAAGTCAGTTGGGGGAAATCAAAAGGGGCCGCTTCCGGAAAGGTCAAGCAAGGAGGGTCCTTTCGAAGGGGGCGCAAATCTGTCATTGGGCCTCTTGTCCTTTCTTGACTTTGCAACAGATACAAGGGGTCTGGGCTTCAGTGAGATGAAGTATCGAGAAAATGGGGGTTTCACAACAGTCCTGGGAGAAGGACTAGAAGGCAGGAGGGGACAGGAAAGCTGGTAATAGGGAACCCAAGGTTGAGAGGGGACAGTGTTGACATGCCGAGGGGTTGTTAACCAATGTCATAAAACAATATGTATACTGACTGTTTAATGAGAAACTATTTGTTCTGTAAACCTTCATCTAAAGTACAATTTAAAAAAAAGTACAATAAAAAAAAGAAAATACAGGTTTGGAGAATACAGACAGGTGAAGTAAGGTTTATAGGTGGAAGGCTGGTCCCTGGGTAGCACAAATGGTTTGTGCTCTACTACTAACCTAAACGTTGGTGATTCGAACCCACCCAGCGCTGCTGAGGAAGAAAGGCCTGGCGATCTGCTTCCATAAAGATCACAGTCCAGAAAGCCCTATGGGGCAGGTCTACTCTGTACCACGTGGGGTCTCAGCGAGTGGGAATCGACTCAAAGGCAGTGGGTATAAGTGGAAGCAGCTGGGGCCGGGCTAGACTGGTTCTGGTCCAGTCCGGTTCTCAGCCCTGTTTTGAATGCCGTGGACAGGTAAGACGTGGTTAACCACTTTGATGCTTGACGAAAGCAAAATCATTTCTGAGGCTTCATGTTTGATTTGTGTGCTTTCTGTGGGTTACAGGGTGGATGGGCCGAGGTCTGCGATTGTGGGGTGATTTAAAGGAATGACTTTTCTTGCTGGCTGTGCTTTTCTCAAAAGACGTCACTTTTCTCCGCTCCTGCAGGCAACACCATTGCAAGCATAGTGTCCCCCATAGTATCTGTCGTGGTGGTAACGCTGGTGGGGGCGGCCACCAGCTATTTCACCTACAATCGGAGGAAGAACTGTTTCAGGACTAACGGCAAGTTGCACAGAAAAAAAAAAGTGTTTATTTTTGTTTCTAAGGTCTGATAAAAATACTTTCTGGTGTCTTTCACGGGCCATGATGCTATTTCTGTTTATGTCCAATATAGACATCTGGGGCCCTGGTGGCGCAGCGGTTCAGAGCTCTGCTGCTAACCGAAAGGTCGGCAGTTCGAATCCACCAGGCGTTCCTTGGAAACCCTATGGGGCAGTTCTACTCTGTCCTATAGGGTAGCTATGAGTCAGAATCGACTTGACGACAACCGGTTTTTAGCATAAGGACATAATTTCTGTTTAAATTATATTCTGTTGTCTTTGCAGTGAAGGTTGACACAGCAGTGGAGGTTTTCATTCAAAAACTTCTACACAAGTTGTTCGGTGACATTGGTTACATTCTTCTCGATGTGTGAACATTCTCGTTATTTCTGTTCTGGTTGTTCTGTTTCCCTTCATCTAGTTTCCCTGCCCCCTTACTTTTTCATCTTTGTTTTAAAGTCATTGTTGACCGTTTGGTCTCATATAGGTGATTTTTTAAAGGAGCTCAGTACTGGGTGGGGGGGTGGTCTTCATTATTTTGTGAGCCAATTTGTTATTTAGCTACAAGGTGACCTCAGGGATTAGCTTAGGTTTAAGCTTTGAAGAGCATCCCAGGGCGATAGTCTCGGGGAGTCCTCCAGTCTCGATGGGTCCAGTAAGTGTGGATTCTTTAAGAATCTGAGGTTCTGTTCCACATTTTTCTCCCATTCTGTCAGGATATAATGACGTATTTTCAAGTTGGGGCTTCACCATGGACACGTGGGAGCTTGAGAGAAACCAAAACAGGAGTTTTAACCAAAGATGCTTTAAAAAAAAACACAAAAAAAACCTAAAACCCTTTTTGTGATCTGCAAGATTTGGTTTTACCACCCTGGATTTTAAATGATGAATTTACACTGGAAAGCCACAAGCAGGAGGTTTGCATTCAGCTAGTCAACCCCGTTTAAGGTTTTGCTTTTCTCAGTAGATTTTTCCTAGCAGTTGAGGCAGGAAAAACATGTGGGTGGAACCTGAAATATTTGCCCCTCTCCCCCCCAAAAAAACACAAAGTTGTAGAAACCCCACATTTTAAGCGTTTCCGTGGAATTCAGAGGCTGAGCTCAGAGTCTTGAAGAAGCAGAGGGCCACAGTGGCTTTCTGGTCAACCTGGGGTCCAGGCTACGGCTCTGATGAAGCTCCTGTCCACTTAGTCATCTTTGGGGGCAGAGGGTCTCACTGCTGATCAGCGCCCTAAACACGTCTTGTAAATGAGAGCCAGAGGAGAGAGTTAGAAAGAGTAACTCAAACTTTAACCCAAGGTCTCTCAAGTTTTGATGTTCAGACCACTCAAGTCAGAAGCTTCCTCCTTGCCCTAGGAAGCTATCCAAATTGTCTTGGCTTCAGAACTTGTCTAACGCCTGCCCGCGGGCTCCCTCTGGTGATGGTTGGGTGGTACTGATCAACATCCCGGCAAGGGCGAGCTTGGTTCTACCTAACACCCCACCCTGAAAGATTAGGGGGAACCTGGGCTTATAACAGACAATCTCTTTTTCCTGACAAAATGCGTTGTGCGTGAGCAGTATAGCTACACCTATGAATTGAGCGCACCCCAAAGTGTGGCCACCTTGTAGGAAGGGAGTTATAGGGACAGGGGCTACCTAAATGGTGACACCTGTCTGTCTCCTGAAGCAGACTGTTTGGAGACCATGCTTTGATCATCATTTTCAATTGTTATTTTTTTTTTTATAAAATGGAGATAACGCCCACTTCAGCAGTTGTGAAGACGGATGAGACCATATCCAAAGAAGGGCTGCATGCGTTGTAAAAGCTCCTTAAAACTCTTGATTTTGCATGTATATGAGACTCATTGGGCACACCAGTCCAGGAGCAAGGATGAGAAGGCAGGAGGGGCCAGGAACCAGACAAACAGAAATGGGGAGCCCAAGGTCGAGAAGGGGAGAGTGTTGACAAGTTGCAGGGCTGGCAAACAATGTTGCCAAACAATATGTGTATTAATAATTTAAGGAGAAATTAATTGCTTTGTAAACCTTCATCGAAATCACCCACACACACACACACACACACACAATATTGGTTTTATGTTTTGATCAAAGATTCTATAGCAAAACCCTGATCGAAAGGGGGAAACACAAAACAGAATTTGGTGAGTAGCGTCTGGGGTCTTAAAAGCCTGTGAGCAGCCATCTAAGATACTCCACTGGTCCCACCCCATCTGGAGCAAGGGAGAATGAAGAAAACCAAAGACACAAGGGAAAGATTAGTCCAAAGGGCTAATGGACCACAACTACCACAGCCTCCACCGGACTGAGTCCAGCACAACTAGATGGCGCCCAGCTACCACCACTGACTGCTCTGACAGGGATCACAATAGAGGGTACCGGACAGAGCTGGAGAAAAATGTAGAACAAACTTCTAACTCACAAAAAGAGGCCAGACTGGAGAAACCCCGAGAGTATGGCCCCCGGACACCCTTTTAGCTCAATAATGAAGTCACTCCTGAAGTTCACCCTTCAGCCAAAGATCAGACAGGCCCATAAAACAAAAAAATGAGACAAAAGGGGCACACCGGCCCAGGGGCAAGGACTAGAAGGCAGGAGGGGACAGGAAAGCTGGTAACAGGGAACCCAAGGTCAAGAAGGGAGAGTGTTGACATGTTGTGGGGTTGGCAACCAATGTTACAAAAGAATATGTGTGCTAACTGCTTAACGAAGAAGCTAGTTCGTTCTGTAAACCTTCATCTGAAATACAATCACTCTATATATGTGTAGATATATATGTAGATATATATATATATCCCCTGAAGTCTTCTTTACACCTAACAATAGTTCAGCCTACTTAGTAAAGAATGTCTGCCTTGAGCTTTGTGCTCTTTTAAGAACGATCTGTATGGCATCATACTGACAACAGCACCTTGAAAGATCAGATAGGAAGCTCAGGGGCAGTGAGTTTATGTTCATGGGGGAGGAACAATTTGGAAAAGGAGCGTGAGAACGTTGCACAACTTGAAGACAGTAATCCATGTCCCTGAACTGTACCTGTAGAAACTGTTAAACTGGTGTGTGTTCTGCTGCGTATATTCTCGACAACAACAGAAAATAAACAGAACTGTAAAGAACATAGGTTTAATAAAAAAGATACACAGTTATCAATTCACTTAAGATGTTCCAAACCCTTGAGGAATGGCAAAGAGTACAAAATAACGCTGTAAATCAATCCATAACTTCTTTTCCCCAGATATGACACTTTGCTGCCCATTTTTCCTTTCAGAACCCGAGAATGTCTGAGGACTTTGAAAAAAACCCAGTCGAGCAAGACAAGAGCCCCGTCGATCCCTTCAGCAGAAAGTTTATTTTTTCTTGGCAGAATCCGCCGCGCTCAAGTGTTTTCTCTTGTTAGAAAGCGTGAGCTACCTGACAATCCCAAATTCACTGGGCGCATGTGTGTGTAAAGATAAGGCAGACAGGGTGTAACCTCGCCTGGTGAAAAGATTGCTTGATTTATTGGTTTGATCATTAATTCGGACAGAGGAACTCGACTCTGTTTGGAGTTCTTAAACTACCTCATTGTTCAATAACATGCAAACATTTAGCCCTGTTTTGTTTGCCACAAACACAAAGGCAGTGGATGGGCACAGTGCCTGGAGGGATGTTACCAGCTTCTGAGAGGTGACGGATATTTTTGAGGTCTCAAAGGTACTGTGGTCAGAAGGCTAACCTCTGCTAAATGTTTAGGTAGATCGGTAATGCTCTAGCTTTCATCACAGACAATGAAGCTGGATGCGGACCATTATTTCAGCCTCTACTTGTCTGCACAGAAAATCGTTATTGCTTGCAGAAAATAAAGCTGGGCTTTGAAATTTTAAGTGCAAAATTGCTGATGTTAAAAACCATCTAGGGGGTTGGTTTTGGGATACTTTTTCCTGAGAAATCTTATAGCTTCCATATTCTTGGAAAATAGGGAACAGAAATAGTGATTTTTTTTTTGCTTCAGATTTGGAGCCTTTTCATATCATTTTTAGTCCTGGTGCTACGGAAGTATCGGCTCTTAAGTCAACAGCATTGCTTTCCTTGGCTTATCCTTTTTTTTTTTTTTAATTGGTGATCCTTGGATGGCACAAATGGTTTGCACTCAACTACTAATCTAAAGGTTGGGGGTTCAAACCCATCCAGTGGCACTGCAGAAGAAAGGCCTGGTGATCTGCTTCCATAAAGATTACAGCCAAGAAAACCCTATGGAGCAGTTCTATCCTGTAACACATGGGGACGTCATGAGTTGGAGTCAACTCAGGACAATGGTTTGTTTTTTTTTTTTTTTGAGTAGGTGATCTTAAGTCCTTAAACAACTAGAAGGTATACTGGCTATTTGCTTCTACTGTAGTAATCCTTGTGGGAAGAGGAAGAGGGACCGTTTGGGCAGAGTTTACAGTTTGATTGTTCTAAGGTTCATGTTTATACAACTTCAAGGCTTTGCCCTAAATATAGGAAACAACTGGAACTCATATAGAGAGCCCATAAAAATCCCAAATATGCAGGCTTTGTGCTTATCATGATGGGCTGGAAGGTCTCCAAAGGGAGGGAGCTGAAAGCAGAAAGTGCTTGAAGGCTCGAGCGCTTACCTACCCAGATGACGTGACTCAGAATGCATGCCTTACAACGAGGATAAGGAGCCCTGGTGGCGCAGTGATTAAGCGCTCGGCTGCTAACTGAAAAGTTGGTGGTTCAAACCCACACAGCGGCTCCACGGGAGAAAGACCTGGTGATCTGCTCCCATGAAGATCGCAGCGAAGAAAACCCTACAGGGCAGTTCTACTCTGTCACATGGGGTCGCTAGGAGTTGGGATCAGCTCGACAGCACCCAACCACACCATCGTGGATTTATGCTTAATTTAAGCAATTTGAAGACAGTCTGGGCTTCCCATTTCAACATGCATGTCCAACAACTCTTCGAAATCCTTGTAGATGTGACAAAACCTGATACCCATTTAACCTTCTCTCTATATGAGTTTTGGTGTGAGTTTCATGTAATTCTCGTTAAAAGCTGTGTGTGTGCGTATGTACACACACACACACATATACATGCATACGTACATACATGGATGGCAGGTAAACATTTTTAAAGGTAAATACATCCTTTCTCTGTAACTGTCATAGCACCTTTTAGTCATTTACAATAAATGTAAACTAAAAAAAAAAAAAATCTTGTTTGTGCCATTCTTTCTCTATCTTGCGCATAAAACTTTATGAAACAGCATTTGAAGGGCCTGAAAATCGTGAAGTTACTTGTCTTTGAATATATTTTAGAAATGCCTTTCTGAGTTCAATCGTGTGTTATTCGGGCAGGTCAGTGCGCATGGCTGTCAGAGTGTTTTATAAGGTCCTTGGATGGTGCAAACAGTTAAGCACTTGTATGGTAAATAAGAGGTTGGAGGTTCGAGTCCACCCGGAGGCGCCTCGGAAGAAAGGCCTGGTGATCTGCTTCTAAAAAATCAGCCAGCGCAAATCCTGCGGAGCACAGTTCTTCTCTGACACACTTGGGGGCGCCATGAGTCGGGAGCCAACTGAACAGCAACTAACAACAAGGATATGTAACCAATACATGTTACATTTGTTGCATTTGCCACGGTAACCACTTTTTGAGAGCACCCAGTTCAGCGGCATTAATCACATTCACTCTGTTGTGCCGCCATCACCGCCATCCATTCCCAAAAGTCTTCCACCAGCTCAAACAGAACTCAGTCCCCCTTCAGCTGTACCGCCCATTCTCCTCTCCCCCAAGTCCCTGGACACCACCAACGTACTTTCCTCTCTGTGCATGTCTCTATTCTAGGTATTTCAGATAAGTGAGATCATACAGCTTTTGTCCTTTGGTGTCTGACTTAGTCCACTCAGCCTGAGGATTCAAGGTCCATCCACATGGTAGCGTGTATCAGAACTTCATTTCTCTGTACGGCTGAGTAATATTCCATTGTGTGGATGGACTCCATTGTGTTTGTTTATCCATTCACCTGTTGATGGACGCGTGGGTTCTTTCTACTTCCTGGCTCTTGTGAATAGTGCTTCTGTGAGCATTTGCTTCTTGACCACTGAGCATATTTCATTCCCTGCCGGTGGGTTTCTGCTCAGAGATTCTGATGAGGGGCAGACAGTATCATTGCTGGAGGTGCCTCAATCTGCACGGAAGCCCTTCGGTGCCAATCTTGTCTCTATGGCACCTGGTGTGTGTGTCTCAAATGCATCTATTTAATTTTTAAACTGTCCTTAAACCAAAAGTGTCCCCTGAAGTCTTCCTAAAACCAAACAATGGTTTAGCTTACTCAGTAAAGACTGTCTTGAGCATTGTGCTCTTTAAGAGCTCTCTCTGTGGGATCAAATTGACAACAGCAACCAGAAAGGTTAAATAGGACGCTCAGGGCGCAGTGAGTTTGTGTTAACGAGGGAGGAACAACTCAGAAAAGGAGGGTGAGAATGGCTGCACAACTTGAAGAACGCCGCAATCAATGTGACCAAATTTTCCTGCAGAAACTGATGAATTGGTGCACCTTTGCTGTGCGCATTCTCAATCACAACAACAAATAAATTATAAAATATGATGCGCCCACTAAGCACGGCCTGCAGAAGTGGCATCTTTTCCATTCCCCATTGGTCCAAAACTCCATGCTGACGGTCTCCCAAGGGTTGGTGAGGTGGGAGTTTCTCCAGCTGGGTGAGGCATTTGGGTCTAGGGTGATAATTACTTCTCGAGCCAGCCCCGCCTCCATGAGGGCGTTTCAGCCTGCGTCCTGCCCTGGCTGCTGAGGCTACAGCCTTTGGTGACTTTGGCTTCTGCCCCAACCCCATCTTCCTAACGGAGGCATGCCTTCCGCGGTCCCAAATACATGCTCTCCACGTTCTCCGGGCTCCGTCCAACTCTCGACATATCTGCTCTTCCCGGTCCCTTCTGTCTGTCCCTTGCTGAGCACGTGTCAGTCGGACACAACTCCTCGCCCTTCCCCGCCCCACCCCGAGGTGCATGAACTGAACATGGGAGGTCTGTGTCCCTCCCAGTTTTCCCTCACCCTGGAGACTGAACAGTTCCTGCACCTGGCAGGCTTAGGGCATTTCTTCCTGGGGCGGCTAACCAGGGCTGGTAATGGGGAAAGGGGCAGATTCTGTAGATGTGGGAAGGCTTTGACAGGAAGGAGGGGTGCCGTTCAATTGCAATCCGTTACCCCACCGTGGGCACCCCACACCCATGTCGCCTGCACGAATGTTTTTGTATATTACACATCAACTTCCGACATACTATCGAGAGCATTATTTTTACTTTATTGTTGTCTGTCTTCTCCCCAGCCCCAGTAGAAGTGTGTCAGGGAATTTTTAAATTTGAGGTAACGGAGAAGATGTGAAGTGTCTGACTTGAGATTTGAGTGCAGCTCTGCTGTGGCTGGTTCTCTTCGCTCCCGAACAACAGCCATTTTCTGTGCAGATATAGGCACGAAACGAAGACATTTGCATTGGGCAAGTCTGCTGCAAAAGACCTCTTGAAAGTGTCGAAAAGCAATGATGTCACTTTGAGGACTAAGGTGCGCCTGACCCAAGCCATGGTGTTTTCAATTGCCTCATATGTGTGTGAAAGCTGGACAACGGATAAAGAAGACCGAAGAGGAATTGATGCCTTTGAATTGTGGTGTTGGCGAAGAATATTGACTGTACCATGGACTGCCAGAAGAACGAATAAATCTGTCTTGGAAGAAGTCCAACCAGAATGCTCCTTAGAAGCAAGGATGGCGAGACTATGTCTTACATACTTGGACATGTTGTCAGAAGGGATCAATCCCGGGAGAAGGACATCATGCTTGGTAAAGCAGAGGGTTGGCAAAAACGAGGAACACCCTCAACGAGATGGATTGACACAGTGGCTGCAACAATGGGCTCAAACATAACAACAGTTATGAGGATGATGCAGGATCGGGCAGTGTTTCGTTCTGTTGTACATGGGGTCGCTATGAGTCAGAACGGGCTTGACAGCACCTAACAACAATAAGAACAAGAAATGTCCGGCAATGATGATGTAACTACACTGTGACTCCTCTGAGAGAGGAAGGTCCCGTAATGATGATGGAACTACCCTGCAATTCCCCACCCCACATACCCTTATGATTACATTGTAACCAGTCTAAGACAGACACTATATCCTTTTAAGCCAATCGCCTTAGGAGCTCCTGCTACAGGAAGTCCTGCCTTACGAGTTCCTGTCACAAGAAATCCCACCTTAAAATGATCTACTACCAATTGAGTAATGTCTT